ATTCATGCAAATGTACAACGTTTTACACAAAGTAATCGCGTCAAGCAGGTGTGTAAGTGTTAAGTAATGGTCTGCAAGTTTGAAATTGTGTTATTTGCTAAACTGCAAATAGTGCAAAAGGGCTGTTCTGCTCAGTTTCAAATGGAACAATGTGTTATTGTATGCTCACTGCCGCTTAGGATCATATGAACCTGTCCCTATACTTTAATCTGGTAATGGATTATTTATGATTGTATCCACTACAATATCTTTACCAAACAGAACTGTCTTGCAGGTTTGCCCGATGTGGAGTTTGCACAGGCAAGCATTGTCATTGCCCAACAATTGTGAATTGTAATCGTTAAGTGAAACAAGGTTGATGCAACAAGCATTAGATAATCACGATGAGTCTTGAGTTGGTAGCACTTCGAGAGGTTAATTGTTGGGCTCACTACAAACGCAACATTTCAAATGGCATATGCTTTGGCACGTTGGGCATACAGCTTGCAGCAATTTTAACAAATGTTAAATGTTTAAGTGCTTTCTGTAAAATAAAATTTAAAAAAGGTCCACTATTTATTGCGACCACATATTGCGCAAAATGTGAACGGTCAAAACTTAGAAACGAGATAATTAACTCCGCACAAAAGTTTGGAAGCCAGAGAGTGCGCGGTGAGATTAAATATTCACGCCGCCCCCTTGACGGGTTGCTTACGAGTGTTTCATTAACATTTGGAGAAGTGCTGCCCAGTTCCGGCCGGCCTCTTGCCAACTGGCCCCCACAGGACACTTGAGGGGCAATTTATTTATTTATTCATTGTTGTCATTTCTCTCTTCTGTCAAAAGGGAGGATGTTTCACGGGATGAGCGGGGCGGCTCGGAGGCCACGAGGGGTGGGTGCTATCTTCCTGTTGGTCACGCTGGATAAGTGGAGGCCTTGGAATGACGCTCTAGAGACCCCCCCCCCCCTAGCTGCCAATTGACCGCAGGGTTTATTTGGCAAAATCTCCAAAGCAATTACGGCTACTTGAGAGAAAGAAGCTGTCGGGGTGCCCACCGGAGCGCCGTTTGAATTTAATCAGGCGACTCCCTGTTTTTTTCGTACATTTTCTAAAATAATTACGTCAAGGCCTTCTGTGAGCACCACAGCTTGGATGATGCCCCCAGGGCCTCCCCCACACTGGTGCACATTGTGAGGCTTATTTTGACAAATGCTCCACCTCGCTCGTCAGTGTAGGTTGGGGATAAATAAATAATGTTGCAACGTGTATATATATAAAATAAGTGTGTGCTGCACTTTGTACGATTGATATCTGCTGTACTGAGATGGTTATGAGTCACTCCTTCGGTAATTAAATGAATTGTCACGAATTGAACAGACTTTTAAAAAATGTAATCAATCGTTATGCGAGTTTCCACTGACGTTGCGTAGTTGTATTCTGAAGCAGTGTGGGAAGGTAAGGTTTATAAGCTACTTTTTTATGGGTGGGGGCATTTAGATCTTAGGGCTAGGGTAGTTTAATCAGGGTAGTTTGACTAACTCCATTTTTAAATGAAATATAAGTAAAATATTCATTAATGTCCGAAACAAGAAGTGTAAACGTTGTCATTATTTCCGGATCGACCTTCATGTGCATCACAGCCCCACAGACCACCTGGAAGATCGTCACAGACCACCCACTAGTGGTACCGGGGAACCAACACTTTTGTGACCTTCATCGTAGCGATTCTAATGTAATTGCCGAATCACTTAATTGACACACGCCCCGGTGCAGGCACGCACACACACACACACAAACATGCATGCACGCGTGCACATGCACGCAAAAAAGGGGGAAACTTGACTGGCACGTTCGTTGTGAAATTGTTGCGCCCGGTGTAAGTTGGCACAGCCGAGGTGGTGTGGGTGGATTTGAGTGGAACGAGATAAGCGCAGACGCAGATGGCCGGTTGCAGGCCCGGCTCGATGCCAGTGTTTAAATCCAGGTCCGTGAGCCGCTTTTGTGGTGGGCTCATTTTTTTGTGTTGGTGCGCACGGGAAATTAATCTCCTCTTGGACAGAGAGCCCTTCAGGTTTGGCTTTCTTCCGTGCCTCATTTGCGCACTGTACCCCACGAACACTAAAAGCTGCAACGTAAATCTAGAGAAGGGTAACCTTGGCTTGCTTCTGCATGGGAGCCACTGTTACACGTGGTGGCTGTACGTACGTATGTTTAACTTCTTTTGCACCGTGCTAATCGGAGGTGCGGGGGAAGGACAGCAAACTAAACACACAAAGTAGTTCCAAAAAAATTTGTTTTTAATCGAGGTGATTTCAAAGTGCATAGCTCCAGTTTGCTTCCTAATATCGGAAGGAAGAGGATGTCATTACCCAAGCACTGGCTTATGCATAAATGTTTGGCTGCACGAGGATTTTTAATGCATCTCAATGGTAATTGCACTGCCTGGAGAGAAGTGCATCTGAAAGCGCGCGATGCAAGTGACCGTCTTTGTTCGATGGTTCGCCAAAAAAGGAAAAGCCTCACTTCTGATGTCATGTGCTGCAAAGTAACGCATACTTTGCCCAGCATTTTCTGCTTTTTGGAATCTGTCCTCAACGGATGTTAATGTTAGTTTCTAATTAAACTGTGTTTGCCATCGCAGTCATTATTATTGAAATATCTCGAGAGGTCACAATAAATGGGGGAATATTTTCAGCACACTTGTGTAACGTCTTGTGTGTGTGCTTGAATTGCCAAGTGTAACTTTTTTTTTTACATCTGTACCCCTAATTATTTGAGGGTCCTGCCAATTTTTCACAGAAGGAGGTGATGTTGTATATGTACTCCCAATTGTATGTATGTAGGTTGAACTTCTTTCGTACCATACGTAGCCAACCGTGTAGGTATTTTTTTACAATGGGATACTTTAGCCAACACCGGTTACATTGTACGTTTGATTGTAGCTTTGGGGGGACACTGTGGAAACCCCAGCGGAAACGCACGCAGAACAGGGGGAGAATATTGCAAACTCCACACCAGTCCCTTTTTGCTCTGAGGCATGAGCGGTAACCACTGCCCGCCGCCACCCTGCTGCCCAGTTTTTCCCGATCACCAAATCGCCCGAAATGCACCCGATCTCAACAGATCTCAGCAGACCAAGGCAAAGTTGAGCCTGCACAGTGCGTGGATGGGCGATGTCCACGCGTAACACAGGTAGTATTGCAGGCTGCTGCGGGGCAATGTGGGGGGCAACAGAAGGAAGTACAGCGACAATGAATTGTTGCACTCGTTGTCAACGCTCCCACATCTGCAAAAAGCAATATCAAATCATAAAATTCTGCTATTATGTAACGTTGCTGTAAAACTGTCAGAGGCATCGGGGGGAATGGTGTTTCGTACCGGGAATGGATTTTTTTGTGCGACTACACGAGCCTGCAAGCGTTTTAAGGTACTTTTTTATTATTACATTAATAACACAATAAAGTCAATGTGTGGTGTCACGGGAATGAATGGAAAGTGTTGCGTAAGACTGCTTCGCATTTATTAGATCTCAAATAAGGTGCAGCCTTTGAAATTCCTGAATGATAGGCAGCCTGGGAACTATTTCAGCACATAAACATCACATATGCCCACACATTACATTGATAACCGCTGCATTTATATGCAACTCGCATTATAGTATTATAGCTTATGCTTAATAAGCACGAGTCAGCATGTTGTCAAGTTTGTGCTTTTTGAGACTCTGGCTTCTGTCGTTCTTTCTGCGACTGTGATTTTTTTTTCATATTTACGTGATCTAACCCAAAAAGAAAACCTTTATTACGGGTCATATGGGTCATATGGGTCATATGGGTCGTGGAAGCTTACGTGTTTCACTGATTTCTAAATTCTGCACTTAGGGGAAGTATCTGACTGGCTCAGAGGTCAGAGCAGTGAGGCCAGCGCAGCTGCGAGGGCTTCAGTCCAGGAAGCCGACTGTGATGCAATACATTTCCCAAATGTAATTCACTGGTTTCTCCACGCTTCTGGCTTGTGTCTGCGACTTGCCGTCATAGATTTGTTATAAACTTATTATTCTTTTTGTGAATTCATGGTCTCATGTTGCCATGGTCTGCACAAAAAATTGACGTTCAAATTTTTTTTTCACATGATGTGGCAAAAATTCCTGACCAAGGAACATATACGTATTAAATGTCGTCAAATGAACGTGTGTGTACAGCAAGATACAAGAAGTTGACTTGAAGGAATCTAAGTTGCGGTCCTGTGACTTCTGCTTCCACTGGTTGTTCTCTAACACCTTGTCTCTTATCTGTAATGCGATTGTAACGAAATTGAGAAAATATGTAAAAAAATACAAAGGCTTCTTTCAGGCAGACTTCCATTTCAGATTGTTTATTAGGCACAGGTGGAGCGTTTGCTACTTCCTTTGAAACCCCTATTGAAAACCAATAAGTAAATCACACAATAACACATCCAGTGACTTTCTATTTACAGTTTAACCTTCAGTGCTGCTGTTCATTGTCTGCACATTTATCAGATGCCCTTCCCTTAAAGATGCTCGCCCTATTGATTTTGCGCCCGAAGCTCCGTTATCCTTTGGGTTTTTACTGCGGCAAAATATACGCTCGCAACTTAAATAAAATGTTCTCACTTGATCTTTCTGAACCAGCTTGTAATTTTGAGACTTGGATGTTTTCTTGGCCATCTATGATATCAGAATGTGCTTGCGAGCACATTTTGTGTGTACGGTACACACATCTTTTTTTAACGATTCAGTTTGAACTATATCAAAGTGCATTTGAGAATCGTATAACAGGCACGGAGTGCCGGTATTCTCTTTGATTGAAGCAAAAGTTTAGTGGAAAAATAAATGACCGGCACCTTAATATTGTACCACTCCTTGCAATGGCTTGGTTGAATCTTTTTTTTCAAATGCAAAAATTGCGTTATTGATTAATTACCACTTTAATTCATCCTTTCACGGGAAGAGTTGGCGATCTGCGCGTCTCTTAATGCTCTGCGTCATTGTTTGTGCTGCAGGAGAGGGAGGCCCGGCTCGACAAGTTCCTGGCTTTGCTCCACCATTACCGCTGGAAAGGAAACCTTTGTCTTTTCGAGCTGGAAAAAATCTGGTAAGATCTCGAGTTATCCCACGTATGTTGAACTTCTTTCGCAATGCACGTAGCCATTCGTGCTAATCCGAGGTGTGGGGGAAAGAAAACAAATGAAACACAAAAAGCAGTTGTAAAGAAATTGGTTTTCAATCTAGAATTAAAAGTGCACAGCTCCATGGGCTTCCTAATAGCAGAAGGAAGAGCGTTCCAGACCGCCACTGAAGCGCATCTGAAAGCACGTGATACGGTGACCATCTTTGTTCGATGGCCAGCCAAAAGCCGCTGCGAGGATGACCGGAGTTCGCCCTGAAGGTTTACGCTCCTTGAGGAGATGGGCAAGGTATTGTGGTCCATCCCAATGGTTAATGTGGTGTGTGTTCGATCGTTAGATTTAAGATAAAATTACTGCAGCCACTCTTGTCACTCATTTTCACTTACAATACCTAATTAATATCTTCACGATATAGTAATAAGAGTAATAATTATATTATTGATGTAGTACGATCAGAAACCTGTTACTCTCACTGAAATGCTTGTGGGAAGCTGTGACATTATATTCCTTCCAGCCGATGGCACAACACCCGAAGGATTCACCAAAATATTTGTTGTCGACAGTAGCACTTTTGCAAAGACGTGAATGCCCGTTTGATTAAATTAGCTGGTTTGTAGAAAGTTGCATGCCATTAACAGCCTTTTTTTTTCAAAGTAAGTGGAGCGGTGTTGCGTAATTGGTCGCCCACTGCGCTATGAACCCAGAATTCTGAGTTTCTACTCCTGGCCATGGTTAACATCGATGGCTCGTGATGGCTTAACTGGTCACCAACCGGTCACCAACCCGCACTGACCAGCACGGTGAAGTGTGGCACATTTTATTGATTAATTTTCTCCCTTGCCCCAGTTTCATTGCAGTTGAGATGCCTCTTTATATGTGAAAATTGCTCGTTATTTCACATTCGCCACGTGATTTTCATGCAGCGACCGGATTTGGACGCGTCAATATTGATCAGTGCTGTCAATGAGAGCGTTCATTTTAAATACAGGGAATGTCTACTGTAAACGCTACTGCATGCGCCAATATATTACTCGCCCAATTAGGCATTTCTCTGCTCACGCGAACTTGCATTCATTAAGTGGCTGTCTGCTTTCACGCTCTGCAATGCTGTAAGTGCATGGCATATACCCCATGGCTTGGAGAACTGCAAGAGATTGTGTGCATTTATTGAAGCAATAAATAACGAGAATCACAAAGCGTGTTGTGTGTAGAATATGTAAGCAGAATCCAGTTCTGTATCTGCACGTTGAGATAAAAATACGTTTGGCCCATCAAAAATTTGTCTTTCTCGACTAATATTCCTCAGCAGCGTTTTTTTTAAGGAAGCAAACGCTGTGCCAGTTTCTACCTGCTGGGTTTCATCAGCAGATTTGATATTTGTCGAATTAATTCACTAAGCAATTATGAGCTTGCTGCAGCCTAGAGACCCTTTTTAAAATGAAAAAAAAAACGTGGGCTCTGTGGACCAGGAGCATTGGCCGTGCCGCTCGCTTCCGTGTCTCCGTGTTTTGGTGACAGACCAACCACCCCCCCGCAGGGAGACTTGACGCGAGTGCACTTTACAAGCTGGATATTAATTTCCTCTTGAGCAGCACTCCCTAGCGTGGTGCACGCCTACGTACGCTTTCGGTTGCGGGCGGGGGGACGGTTATATTTTTTTTATTTTATGCTGCCAGTCTTACTTGAGGAATCCCTTGATGGAAGAACTGGGCGGCATGATTTGTGCCTCGTCGCGCAGCATGTCTCCCCGGCAGTGCGTTCACGAGAGCCCTCGTGTGTGTGTGTGTGCGTGCGCGCGCGCGCATTCGGTCATGAGAGACCCACCCTGCTGTATGCTGGACCACGTGTGCCTCGAGCTCGAGTCGTCTGGGAGATAAAAACGAGTGCGTGGAGGCAATGAGGGAGCAGACGGAAAAACACTTTGTGCGAAAATAATTTCATGCATAGCTCTCTGCAATGTTGTTGACAGTGTTTAGCTCAGGGGGGGAGGGGGGGGGGGATTTGTTTGTGATTCGCTGGAGTTTATCCGAGAAAATGGAACATACGGAGAGGGCGTTTGCGCTGAATTGTCATGCATTAGTCTGACATCACGGATAACAACGTAGACGTGAAAATGATGCACGTGGGCAATTTGAGCTTTCACTTTTGGAGTCAACGAGGTTTTCTACCGGTGCTCACATTGTGGGCCATACCCGCGCAGAGTGTTTTTTCATCGCCAATTGTTTTAGAAATGTTTTATTTTTTGCATTATGTCCTCCATTGAGAAGTGTTGCCTCCTTAGAACTGTGCTGTTTTTGGCAGCTCATGGGAAGAATAAAACATCTGTTGAGTGAACAAAGGCATGATTTTATGGCACAGACTGCTCCCGCGGGGTAATTACCCATCATTGCACACATTACGAAGTAAACATCACCATGACATTGGCTGTTAGTGTATGTTTTGTATGCCAGGACTGCTTCATCACCATATAATAGTGCAGTTAATTTCTGCACGATAAAAACATTACCAATTGAAAAGAAAGACCTGAAGAAGTGGCTAAGAGTAGCGATATAACAGTGTGCATTGAGAGACGTATCTGTCCATTATCACAGCGCTGTTCTAGCAATCGCAGCGATTTCATGAAAATTTAAATTAACCGCAGGTCTAAAAGTGAGTGCCCCCTTTGGCTTGATGAGGCAGGTTTGATTGTGCCACTGTTGATGTGAGATCACAATGTTATTTTGGAAGTGCACATTATTTTATCGATCTGTTGGAGGGTGATTTGAAATGTTACTATGGAATGAGAGCATTTGGCACGGGTCAGCTTTGGGGGAACGAGTGGTGAGAGGCCATCGGGGACACGAGCGTATCCTTCACTTTTCCCGTCTTAGCTCGTGTTATCTATGAATCGCACGTCGCAAATAGAGTATTGCAATCGTTCCACGTTTCAACTATACACTAATGCTGTATGATGATGATAATAATAATTAGCAATGATTTGTCATTCCATTGCTGGAGGAAATAAACAAATATCCACGTCGTAGCGATCTTGGAGGTTTATTAAAAAAAAAGAACACAAAGTATTGTTCCTTGTCACCGGGGGTTTTATCCTGTATGACTTGCTTTTTCACGAACTCGAAGAGGCGTGTATGATGTGTACATCGTTGTGTGTGGTTTTTTTTCTTCCGTTCCTCATTTTTTTTTATCTTCCTCCACATTACTCTGCCGAAAAAGGAGGGAGGGTGGGTGGGTGGGTGAGGGAGACATTATCCATGAAGCGTTTCTGGATTTGCCCACATATGCAGCAAACACAAGGTGTCAATATGAAGGGGAGGGGGGGATGTCGACTCAAACAGTATACATACGGAATATGCAAACGAAAAAAAATGCACCGCGTTTTTTCTCTTTGATGCAGAGCGACGAGCTTCATCAAAGCGCAATGGTTAATTGCGCGTGCCGTGCCATTCGCATTGTGCCCTGCGCACACCCATTTCCTCCGCGGGTTTTGCGAGAGCTCACCCGCATCCTTTGCGAATTGTTCGACGGCCAAATGAATTTTCTATTTAGCTCGGTGCGGAGTAAAAACCCTATTGACTTGCGATCAATGCTGGGTTTTTTTACGAACGGTGTTTCGTCATGGTTTTTATATTGCTGACGCATCGTCTGGATCATGACACCCTCCCGGAAAATCAGCCGCACACCCCCGAACTTGCACCCGGTGTCAGTGACGTTACACAAATCTGGCCACAGCCAACTATGCTCGCCAGGTAATTGATTATAGTGAAAAGCTGCGTTCACAATGGTGCAGCAAGCACAATTAACAAACGAACACAAAGCTCAAAACATCCGTCCATAATATTGTCTCAAAAGAAACAAATATATAATCGGTGACATTTCTGGCAACGACCCTTCCAATTTGTGCTCTAAGGAACGGCCATTGCCCAAAGCGTACCCTATTTTATGCACGCTTTATTTTAAGGCAATGTCATTGATGAATGTGTTTGACTTTGTCAATTGTACCAGACAATAAGAAAAGCGTGTCTAATAATCCAGAAAACGTGGGAGCTGATTTTAGTTATTTCTTTATTTTTTCAATGTGGCCAAACATTGGCATAGGTGTGCACCTTAACCAGCAGCAGCAGTCTGCCGTCTGGGTTACATGCGGGGGGGGGGCGGGCGGGGACACACACACTCAAGTGCTGTGAGAGGCATGCGTGCACACACACACGCACACATACAAAAACCCTCGGCACATTAGCAATATGAGCGCACGTTCCGTGGTCCGCGCTCCTCTGGTTGCGCGGGGTCAGCAGAAACAGTGGGGTCGGGGAGAAATGATTAAATAGAGTGAGACGGCACGCACGGCAGGTGAAATCAGTGTAAGCTCGGCTGCGGGATAATTCATGACTCTGTCGAGTAAGCGTGTCCCGCTTACATTATCCTAATCTCTGTGGCTCCAGTATATATCTAGATATATGCAGCAGATACTGCAGTGTTCTGTAGGGTTCATTTTTTCTGTTATTCCTTCCCGTGTTATTGGCTCCTTACACGTTCTCTTTTACACGTGCTGCACTGTAAGCATCGCCCGGTTTTCTTATCTCCGTGTAATGCCTTGTCTTTTTTTTATCATCACTACAACGGAGTCTTTTGTGAGCGGGAACCCCCGTTATCTGGTGTCACGAGCCCATTTCCTAATCCCAAGTGTTGTGTGATTCTTTATTATGGAGAAGAGGCCTTGGGGGAAGTTGGTGTAAAGAGGTTTCGTTTGGAGTGGAGGGCAGGAATCGTCTATATATTTATCTCCCACGAAGGAAAGCAAAAGAAATGTACTCTGTCATAACCATAGTTATCATGGTTATTGCCCAGATATTTCAGACTGTCAGGCCTTGTCAGAATGTTACGAGGATGAGCCACAAATGATCACGTGAGGACTATTTTTATGTAAATGTTTGTAAACTGGAACACCTACGTAACGATAATAGGTCAC